CCACAGGACTGAGCTGTCTCTCGGTCTAGGTGGGAAAATAAGACTTGAAGGGGTGAAGCGTTAGATAGCAGTACGGTAGCACCCAGTGGCCAAAACAGAGAAGAAAGCTATTTTAGTTGGTGAGGAGATCCACAGGTGGAGTCACCCCACCGCCATGCAGGCACAGGGTGACCATCCAGTAACAGAGCTGGTCAAAGTCAATGGGAGTCAAAAGGCATCTGTTTGCCAACCAGCCCTGGGCTTGGACTGGAGACTCAGTTCCAAGAGAACAATTTGAAAATAATCCAGGGACTTTCCTCTTCTAATTTAAGCCACAGACATCCTTGAAACTTTTCTTCTGCTGTGTTGTGGTACATATCTGAAGTGTTTGAAATATAATCCCCCCAAATGGCACAAGAAAACAGTTGGCATGAGCATTTGGCATTCTTTTTCACACCCCCAGGAGCTTCAGGACTCAGGCCCTCTATACAGAGAAGGGCACTTGGGTGATTACAGAGGTCCCACTTGGGCAATCCCCTGCTTTGGGGGGAAGACACCAGGGTGTCTGTTATAACTGCATCAGGAAGTTATTTTTCTGTCTTTGCAAAACTAATGCAAACAGGGTTTGATGCAGAACCTGTTAACAATGTCCGGGCATTGGCCAAGTAATCCAATCCGAAATATCCTCATTTCTTATAGTTTACCTAGAAAAGCATTATGCAAAGAGCATGGTCATGAACAGACAGGGTTAATTTAAGAAACATCTCGACCATTTGTCTGTAAGAAAGGAATATCATCTTTTTGGCTAAATATGGAATGTAAGACAACCTCAATACATCAAGTCTGCAAATGCTAAGTCTCTCCACGCTGCCCACTTCTGAACTAGATCAGTAAAGGCATATTCTATGCCATGTACCAACTAGCCCTCAAAAGGTTCTCTGTATTTGCCATTGCAGTAAAATAAGATGTTAAGAAGCAGGCTTCTTCTATTTTAATCAAATGCTGCATATGTAGTGCTGACATGTAATAGTATGTCAGAATAGGATGTCTCTAGATAAGGGGCTAATTGGGTAGAGAAAATGAGAGTAAAACAGAATCGGGTATAAAACAACCAGAAGCTTCTCTAAGATGTTGTCTGAGCATGCGCTAAGCTCTAAAGAATGGTGTGGAAGACATTCAGATTTTATTCTTATTTGGAAAAAGCTAAAATATGGCTTCCTCAGGGACTCCATTTTGCTCTGTTAACATGTAAGTGCTTGGGTTTTCCTCCAGTTTTTGTGGTACAGTCTGTGGCGTATGCTTTTCTGGTGCCTCCACAAAATAAGATAAGGTGACACTTGATGACTTGGGGCCATAAGCCAAAGCTGCATTTGTCCTTGAGCACACCAGCAGGAGCAAAAGCCCTGAAAATGATCCTCCAAGAGGATGCCAAATAATCCAGTTGTCCTAATTGCCTGCAAGTGAAACCGAGATGTAACAAACAGATCTCCGTGCTATGGAATTTGACTGTGACCAACTGCTTAGTGATTAATAAGGCCTAGCAGAGGTGAGTTTTCACAGAATTTTATACTGAGTCACTTTTGGTGGAGAAATGAGTCAAACCCTTTCGCCTAACTATTAAAAACCTAGTCAGTTCTCAGTCAAACAAGGAGTAAAATTGGCCGCCTTACGTAACTAAGTTGTATCCTTAGTCCCCTTTTGAAAATGGATGCAACTGCGTGGATCTGGGCTCAGCTCTGTGATGGGTCTGTTCTTACAGTAAGAGCATGACATCTGTCAGGAGCAGCTCAGTCTGGGCTACTATATTGGTCAGCAAACCTTCCCTGAGTCTGATTGGATCCTCTGATCAATACGGTGCTTTAAAAGAATCTTGGATGAGCAAACAGCATATCAATCTTTACGATCTCTTTAGTTTGAACTGGTTTTCTTCAGATTATAACTAAGATTTTTTTCCCATCACATTCAATCTCAGTTGACCCAAAAGCTGCATAAGTGGCTTTATGTTATCAACTTTTTACTTGGCTTTGCAACACCTCTCTATCTTTCACCTTGACAGCAGAAAAGGTTTTATGATGGGAGAAATTGTACCCCAATGGTCATTCATCCAAAGTGACGGGAGGAATGAGCCACCGCATGCACACACACACACACAGAGAGAGTAGTTTTTTGAAAGGAGATTATAAGATCCCTCTAGAAACACTTTAAAAGACTCATTTCAATGAATTGAATAAAAGTGCCTTCCTGACCTGCCCTCCCCTTCATCTTTCCAAGCTGAAGGCTTGTTTGATCAATCTAATTGTTCTAAGAATGTGTGGCAATGCTCAGTATGAAGTGTGTTTTGCCAAAAAAACTGCTTGAAGTGACCCAGTAATTCACAAGGAAGCCGGAACCACTCTAAACTTCCCCCACCTGGCCTCAGAAAGCCCAGTGCCACAGCTTATGAAACCCTGATCGCTCTCCTTCCTCTTTTACTTTTCTGAGAAGTCCCTATGCCCTATCTCAATGTTCACTTCTGAAAGTTCAAATAATTTTTTCTCTCTGAGTAGTTGTTACTGGGGCTTCCATTTATTAGGATATTTTGTGTGAGTGCGAGTGTGTGTGTGTATGTGTGTGTGATATGTCCTCAAGACCCAAATACAGCCCCATCTATCTGGTTCTCGAATACAATGAATTCTGGGCCCAAATGACACAGTGATTTTCACTATGGATGGTGTTTGGATGGTTGACTCTCTACCAATAATTGGAGCCATTTGTCTCTCTGTACTTTTAGTTTTCCAAAGTAGGGGAGATTTCCATCAAGATCCAACCTCTTTCCCTATACCCCTTAATTCAGGGTTCTGTAAGATAGTCTCTCAAGGTTCTGTAACTTAATCTCATGGTTACTAACAAAAATAAAACAAAACAACAACAATCGAAATCACACAAAACCAAACCTGACTTGGACTAAGATTAAAATTAAAGCCTGGACATGCACCTCCCTGTTCCAGGACATTCTAGAAATTTCCCAGACAGCAGTTCCCCACAAAGAGGCTTCCCAGACAACGTGTCCAGCTGGGCAGGTAGCCTCTGTCTGGCAACTACCAAAAATAAAGCAATAGTTAAAGAAAGCATTGGATAACCTTTTCCTTCTTTGAAGCTCAAAAATTCTTAATTTTTTTTTTTGCAAACTTTTCTTTCCCACTTTATTCCAAATGTACTTGACTGTCCAAGTATTCTGAAGGCAGATAAGACTAGTCAATAAAAACTTAAAAAGTAAAAATGTAGCATGAATATTTCCAAATAGTTCAGGGGATAGGATTTAACCTAATGTAATAGTGCTATATGTAGATTCTGCCTTAGCAGAAATAAAAACATTTGGTACCCTCCATCCCACTCAATCTCTTGTAATCCTAATTTGCATTATTCATTTCCTCACCACATTTCTCTTTCCTCCAACAAACTTCATTAGTACATTTCTTATTAAAATCCTCATGGACCACAAATCAGTGGGATTCAAATGAGGCCCTGTTGGGTCCATTTATGAGACATTTACCTAACCTTTTTATCAGAAAGAGGAAGCCCTGCTTCTGCATTTCTTTAGTAGCACAAAATAGGTTTCTAAAAGATCAGAGCCCATTTCCCCTCAAAAACACATTAAGCAAAAATGCCTACATGCAGCATGCTCATGGTTGAGCTTGGCATCCTGATAGAGCATAATAATGTCTTAAGACAAGAGAAGTTAGGGCAAGGGCAAGTGAATAATATGGGGAAAGGAATGGTCATGAGCCAACTGGTCTAACTACAGATCTTTCTGCATGTAAGAACTGAGATCCTTTGAAGGGACCTTCCTGGTTATTAGTCAACCTTTTCAAGGTTTCATGACAGTCTTTACAATCTTAAGAGAAAGATCATCAGTCTTCAGAGGGGGAAGATCTTTCTAGCATCAATATACAATGACCTGGTAAATCCAAATCGGGCAAAATTACGGGCACTCACTAACTAGTTGTTTCCAGAGACACCTTGGGGTCCAGGTAAAGACTTGGATGACCTCTTTGGTGATGAAAGGACTATTTCAATCCGGAAAATCTCTAGTGGCAAAGCCTTTGTAAACACTGGGAAATTCTAGGTTTCTACTAGGGTAGACAACAATGAATTTACTCACATGGAGACACAAGATTGGCTCAATCTTGGGGGAGATAGAAGAAAAAGGAGGAGGAGAAGAAACAAAATACCTCCTAACGATTTGACACCTGCCACGTATCTGTATGTCACACACGTTTTTATTACTCCCAATGACAATCCTGTAGGTAGCTTTCATTCTTCTGTACATCAGGAAACTGAGATTCAGTGACTCTCCTCAGGCTATTTATTTATTCATAAAGTATTTATTATGTATCAAGAACTATTTTAGGTGCCAGTAAACAATGGAAAACAAGGCCAAAACTCTACATTTTAATTTAACATTTTTAGACACTTTAAAAATTATGACTCACAGGAAGAAATATATATTAAACTAATGCACAATATGTACAGTTTATAAATATACACACACATATATTGTATTTGAAACAAAATTAATTACACACATAAATTATCCTTATTGCATATATTATATGCTCTGATATTTTCCTTTCTATTTTGTGTTTCCTTTTTAAAACCTGGTCACAACCAGTTAAACTGATTTTATGATTTACTTATAAGTCATAATGCAAGGTTTGAAAACATTTTCTTAGTTGAGTTGAATGAAATGGGACTAATATTGATATTAGTCAATATCGAAAACTCCAATGTTATTCTCAAAACTCCAGAGCCTGGGGAGTTATCTACATCCTTTTAGGGAAGATTCTCATCTTTGGAAGGAGAGCTGTCTGTCTCTTCACAGCCTGGAATGGTTAGGTAGAGGCCACATAAATTCAGTTTGGATCTCTGGAGATGTTCAAACTCCATCTCTTCTTCATAGCATGTCTTCTATTTGCTTCCAGAAATGACAATGTGTTTTATTTTTTCTTTTGTAATTTTTTCCCTTTGTTCTCCCCATGTAGGCTGACAACAGAATATCCAGGCCACTATGGTGAGGAAATGGACATGGTTTCCTACAATTATGATTACTACATGCGAGGAGCAACAACTACTTTCTCTGCAGTGGAAAGGTGAGAGGGGCAACCCCTTCCCCACAGGCTAGGAGTTAGAGAAGGTAGGGACTAACGCTGCCCAAGGATTATATCTGCCAGAATTTTGATCTGGGATTTGTCCTCTTTTAGTTTCCTTCTTAGTCAAGGATTAACTGAGGGTCTGGCTGGTCAACAGGAAGCAATGGGAAGCAAGCTGTTCCCATGAAGTCACACGAAGCAGCTCACCCTTGGCTATAAAGACAAATTCAAGCCTGCCCCGGAACAGAGAGTCCCAAACTTGGTATTTCTTGATATCCTAAGCTCTCCCCTCACTTAATATCACAGAGCAACTTTCCTCACCAAGCATCAAGAGGAGAGGGCAAATGTGTTTGGAGGACTACTCACTGTCAAAGGACCCTCTTCCATTCCAAATTCCATCCTTCTATAGGACCCCCCACTTTAAGGGAGAGAAGGGGAGGAGACTGGACAGAAGGGACACACAAAATCTACTCACTCTGTTTGGGCTACTACAACACAATACCTTAGATTGGGTAATTTATGAATAATAGAAATTTACTATTCACAGTTCTGGAGGCTGGAAAGCCCAAGATCCAGGTGCCAGTAAACTAAGTATCTAGTGAAGATTTGCTCGTTCTTTCAGACAGGGCACTTTGCTGTGGGGTCCTCACGTGGCGGAAGGGGCAAGCCTCCCTTTGACCTCTTTTACAAGGGCACTAATCCCATGGATGGGGACAGAGCCCTCATAACTTTACTATTTCCCAAAAGGCCCCACCTCTTAACACCATCATATTGGGTACTAGGTCCCAACATGTAAGTTTTGGGGGAACACCAACATTCAGATGATAACATTTATAAAACATATTTAGAAATGAAAGAAGAAGAAGAAGGCCTCAATAAAAACCTGAAAAAAATTAATGAAAGAAGAGAATTTAAATAACATAAAGAAAAAAGTATAGAATTAACTTTTTTCATCACCTTTCACTCATAATCAGCTTCCCAACCCTATCTCAACTACAGCAAACTAAACCAAAACAATAAAAAGAAAATAAGAATTCTTCCCCCAATTACTACAGATAGACATGTGGGTAGATTCAAGTGTTAAAGATTAATCTGACCTATTTTTAGTCAGGTGGTAATCACTTTACACAGAAATAAATTCCTGAAAAGTTAGCAATAAATTATTTGCAAACCAAATAAAACTCATGTTAACTCATTAGATAATGTTATATGATGAATTTAACTGTGATGAGTCTCACTGTGTCGCCCTCAGTAGAGTACTGTGGCATCATAGCTCACAGCAAACTCAAACTCTTGGGCTCAAGTGATTCTCTTGCCTCAGCCTCCCAGGTAGCTGGGACTACAGGCACCTGCCAATTTAATGCCCCACTATCTTTAGAAATGGGGTCTCTCTCTTGCTCAGGCTGGTCTCGAACTCCTGAGCTCAAGTGATCTACCCACCTCAGCCTCCCAGAGTGCTAGGATTCCAAGCATGAGCCACATGCCTGGCATGAAATTGTATCTTACTTAACCAACATTAACTTATTTAATATGGTCTAAAATTAAAACAACAACAACAACAACCATGGAGTAGGCTGTTGGAAAGGCATGATGAATGTTGTGTGTTCATGTACAAAAGATCTTATGTTTATGCATAAGAGAACTCCTCAGCTCTCAGACGTTACTTATTTTTGTTTTAGATGCATGTTTAACTAGCTTAGTCAGGAATGAAACTCATTTCACCAGTGAGAAGAAATCATTGAGTGACATGACACAACCCAAAAAATGTATTTAAGAAAAAGAAAGAAAGTAAAACAACATAAACTCAAAGAACATGGAAACCTGGTGTCATTTAGCAGAAGTGTGTAACCCAAAGTGCAAAACTGAGTTACAGTATAACAGAGGACTCAATAGTCCTAATGATAACTCCAGTTCAACAAGAAAATTAGTTCTCTATTCCCTGTTTAAGAAGGCAGAAAAGAATGCAACAAAGTAAGAGTGGCATCAAAACTTATCATGAAATAAACATACTTTGAACAGTTAAAATGCCTAATTCCTATTGGCTTGGTTATAGGGACTGCCTGGAATCATGAAAACTGAGATATTATCTCATTCCATTGGTTGAAAATTAATATCCTCCCCAAAATAAAGTGAAATAAAATAAAATAGATATATGCTCATGTAATTTTTCTGCTGTCACTACAAATCACTGGCTTAAGGGTCCACAACCTGAGTTTCTTCAGTTCTGCTAAAAACCTGAGACTCCCACTTTGGAGAAGTATTGTCACTCCCTTCTGTATGCAGGTCACTCTGGTTCCTCCAGGAACGGAGTTTCTCAACCTGCATGCTGTTGACACCTGGGGGCAGATAACTCTTTGCTGTAGGGGTCTGTTCTGTACATTCTAGATGGTTAGCCTACCCAATGGATGCCACTAGTACCCCACCACCAGTTGTGACAACCCAAAACATTTACAGTCATTGACAAATATCTCCTGGAGAGTGTATCTGCACCTAGTTAAAAAACCACTATCCTGGAGGGAAACCAGAGATTAAGCCGGGCTGAATCCCGTGGACCTCATAAGAAGTCTAAATTTTGCTTAGTATCAACTAACAGCCTCTTAAAAGAATAGTATGAGCGCCTAGCCATAAGATCTTGTTTATCTGGAGTTTTGGCAGGCAGATAGATAAGAACTGGCTGCAGTAATTAAATGCATTTGATAAACCTGCATGCTACCAATTTACTAATCTCCATCTAAAACAGTGTTTTTCAGTCTTTATCTCATGGCACCCTTAAACCGATAGTTAAACATCAGTGACACTTTAATAATGGTGATTTTAAAAAAAACAGTAAAAAAAAAAAAGTGTACTTACTGTGTTTTGAACCTCTTTTGAAAGTAATTTAATGACCTTTAAAAACTTTTGTGACACACTTAAGATCCCCTCACAGCACCCCAGTTGAAATCGCTTATTTAAAACAAGCTATGTCCTCCACTGACTATGACAGGAACAAATACCGAGAGTTGATTGCCTAGGCCTTAAAGACTTGTGTTTGGGGACTCTACTCCCAAGTGCTCTAAACAAACAACCTAGCACACCAGACTCAGAGCTAGAATGCCTGCCAGAGGCCATTTGAGCAGAGCGAACCTCCCAGAACTGACAGCAGCCAGGCTCACTCAGGAGCTGGGTGGAGGCCTTGTGGGTCGTGGTGTTAGGACACACTGAGTTGGAAAGGGGCCTCGCAGATAGAAAAGGGAGAACGACAGTGCTAAAGTTCCACTGTGTTTTGGAAGGATTAGCATGATCAACCGTGGAAAAGCTCTTAATTTTTGCCCTTAATCAAGACTGTGCGAAGGGGATGGCAGAAATGACCTCTCCTAGAGTTAAGGGTACCCAGCCATGGAGACAGTGTGGCATAAAAGTCCAACCCACTTGGGATCTGAAATTGTCATCTGCCGCCTGCCACTTGGATTATCTTAAAACGAGTCACTTATTTTTCTGAGCCTGCTTCTTCACCTACACACTGAATTGCTACGAGGATTATAAGAGAAAACACGTAGAACATCTAGTATAATGCTAGGTAGATTAGAGGTGCTCAGAAAATAGTAGCCACAATTTTCATTATCATTGTTAAAAGATAGTAGGCCCCAGGAGAGCCGTACAATGCGGGCACTCTATACATTTGTTGTGAAATGGATTAGTAAAGAATGTTAACTTGCCCTTAAGCAAAGAACATCCCTTAAAAAAAAAAATCCACATCCTGTTTTTCAAAATCGAGCAGTTCTATGTACTCTCAGACCCATCCCAACCATAAGTCAGCAGTTTAATTATATCGGCTCGGCGCCTGTGGCTCAATCGGCTAAGGCGCCAGCCACATACACGTAAGGTGGCAGGTTCGAATTCCCAGCCCGGGCCGCCAAACAACAATGATGGCTGCAACCAAAAAAAAATTGCGGGCGCCTGTGGTCCCAGCTACTTGGGAGGCTGAGGCTGGAGACTCGCTTGAGCCCAGGAGTTGGAGGTTGCTGTGAGCTGTGAGGCCATAGCGCTCTACCTGGGGAGATAGCTTGAGGCTCCATCTCAAAAAAAGAAAAAAAAAATTTCTGTTATATCAGAGTGGTAGACCTTTTCTTTTTCACTTTAAGGGGTTTTCGAGATTTTTTTCCTTCATTTCTCCATGAGGAGTCCTCGGTAAAGGAAGGAATCAATAAGAAAATAGATGGACATTTTAAAAGAAGATTCTTTACAATAAAATGGAAATGGCATTAAATAAATGCTTTTATTCCAGGCTGGTAACTGTAAGCTCTTGAGGCATTTTGGAGGCAACAGGGGTGAGCTGACCACCAGTGATGAATGGAGCCTCCACACAGCCAGCGACCTACTTAGTCCTGTTCCAGGGGTAACCTGGCCTCACAGACTTGTGGATTCTTTGAAGACATCACTGAGATGTCTCCTAAGAGCAAAGTGAGGTTACATGGCCTGTCAGTCCCTAGATCCTCCAAATGTTCATTGCTTTTTCCCCCACAGGGATTCTGGTGGTATCTTTTCTCACTGACTTTAGTTCTCTGACTCTCCCCCTCACAGGGATCGCCAGTGGAAGTTCATAATGTGCCGGATGACTGATTACAACTGTGAATTTGCAAGTGTTTAGATTTGCTGCATACCAAATCTGGGTGGAGAGATAAGGGCCAGAAGGGCCTGAGGGTGTCCACACGTGTTAGCATCAGTTGGAATGCCTGTGGCTATTTCTGCTGCTCTCTTTCCTTCTCCCTGAGCCAGTAGCTGCAGCACCAGCTTCCTGGCCCTTTCTGACTCGTATCACACTTATAATGAAACCCACAAGTAAACCATGCTTCTCACTTTGAACACATTCCATAGCAACTATTTTATATGACAGGCAATGGCTTCTCTGCACGCTGCAGATATCTGTGCCTGCTCACAGCCTGGCTCCGGGGCGCCCCCTGCAGCCTGGCTACTGCTTTGACTGCAAAATGAGCTGCAAACTCAACACAGGAGGGCAGGGGCGGGGCTGGAAGGGAAGGGCAACGAAGGGTCCCCACAGCTAAGTCTGGATGACATACAGGGCCTCCACTAAACGCAGGCCTTTAGCCCTGCCGGGACAGGCTTCCACTCTCCCGCTCCACACGAGCCATGCATGCTGAGAAGTCCAAGTGCACAGATCTCCCCTCTGGGAGTGAGGGGCCTGGGAGATGAAAAGGGGAAGAAGGTGGTGAACATAGAAGACAAATGTTAGCATGCTCAGTAATGACAATGAACGCAGAGGCCAGGAGAACCTGGGAGCGTCAGTCTCAAGTAAGATGAAAACAAAGGAGGAGAGGCAGATCAGAGAATGGGACTCATATCGGACACTTGGAGGGGATGAGACCAGCCAGGTTGCTTTGGGAAATGGAAAAATAGGTTTGAGGTACTGGTACCTAGAAGTCAGCCCAGGAGTCCTGGGAAGGCGGCCTGAGCCCTGGAGCCAGGGGCAGCTACTGGCAAGTTCCTCTGTACTGGTCCTGACTTTGGGGGTGGGAAAGGCTGCCCTGGGGACCCACTTCCCTTCTACGTAGCTAAGAGGTGTCTTCTGCAGAAATGTCACCCTCTTTCCTCCTCCTGTGGAATCTCTGTCCCCAGCTCTTTGTACTCTTTTTCACAAAAGTAATAAAAATATTAACATTCACTATGCTGCAAACATGTGGGGACAGTTTTTGTTCTCTACCCTTCCCCTTTGCAATGATCCATCCATCCATTTGGAAAATATGGCTTAGCATTGTGAATTGTGCCAAGCAGGGTGCAGCCCCGAACACAATGACAATGACAGAGTGTGGCTGGGGCATCAGATCATTAAAACAGAGTGCTAAGTGCTGAACTTAAGGATTGAACAGTGGATGGAGCCACAAGTCTTTGCTTCTGAGTCCAGCCTGTGTTTCCCCTGTGTCCGTCAACCCCTCCTCGCCCCAACCTGTCAAATGCATCTTTAACCACGCGAAGCCCCTATTTCCTTTATCCACACAGTTTGCCTTTTCTTTTTTGTTCTGAGCTGCTCTTCCTTCATCTTCTCCCCCAAGGTACCCAGGAGGGAACCACAGGGGCCATCTGCCTCATCATACACCCCACTTGGGTGGTCAGGATGGTGACTCTCAGCTGCCGGTGCTGCACTTCCTGCTGCAAGATCCCAGCACAGCCATGGGGAAGGATGTCCTTCCTTCTCTGCCTCAACTCTGAAACTATTTTTCATATTATGGTTTTATTTTATTTCCTTCATTTCATTGCTTCTGCCTCTCTATCAATTTTAATTTACAATAAGAAGCGTCTTGGTGTTATTTTTCACAAAGTGAGCCATTAATATTTCAGCAATTGCAGCGCTGGCTCAGGATGGGAACCAGGAAATGGCCTTGGTGGTGTGTGTGGAGCACAGCTGGAAGGCAGATAAGCCTTGGCATCCAGGAGAAAACAGGGGCTGGGGAGAGGAAAGGGGATGGGAGAGAGGCCCGCAGTGGGGAGGAGCTTCCAGGAAACTGCAAGAGATCAGGAGCCAAGGAGAAAACTCCTGTAAGACAATCCAAGAAGAAGTACTTGTGCCAAGTAGAGTAAACTGAGAGGTTTTTACTAAGAGAAAAACTATCCTTTCCATATAGGTCAAGAACAATAACAGGAAAGACATTGTCAACTTGGTTTGAATCTGGATAGTCCATACGTTAGGTCAGCATCATTCACTAAGAACTAAGTGTCAGAGTGAGGACAAAATCCCAGGTCTTCTGGCTGCGAGTTCTCATTCTCTAGTCTCTCATCTCTCCAATCTTTCTACTAACTTGCTCCACAGTCTTGAATAAGTCATCTCTCCTTCCCAGGCCTACTGTCAAAACTGAAGACGCTTATCTATGGATTTATTGTGGTTTCTTACAATTCCAGAATCCTGTATGCTCAGTCATCTGCCCTGAATTGTTTATGAAGGGATTAGCTGAGGCATTTTCTTCCAGGTAAGGAGCCTGGAACTATTAGGACTAGATCTCAGACAGAGGGTGGCTGCATAAGATGAGACAAATACCCACGCCACCATTCTCTCATCTGCCCAGTGCAAGCAGGAATCCCTTTGCGAACAACTTCACATGATGGTGGTCACATAAAATGAGAGGAAGAAGGGACATGATTCCTGTTTCACGAGGCCTACAGCCTAATGGTGAGATGATTAAATAGACATGACAATGAATGAAGGACATTTCTCTGGGAAAGCTGAATCCTTGCATGGCCTTCAAGGACAAGTAGAACTTCTGTGGTGAGCAGAAAAGACTGTTTTCTCCATTCAGACTGCAGGGGCATAAATCCTGGCTCTGTCACTTCCCAGTTTCACAACCTTGACCAAGTCATCTACCTCTCCTGAGACTCTATTTCCAAACCTATAGAAATAACAGTACTACCGGGAAGTGCCTGTGGCTCAAAGTAGTAGGGCCCCGGCCCCATATACCGGAGGTGGTGGGTCCAAACCCAGCCCTGGCCAAAAAAATAACTGCCAAAAAAAAAAAAAAGAAAGAAAGAAAGAACAGTACTACCTACATCATGGGGTTGTCACATATTTTGCACCTAGTAAGTATCCAATAAATGTAGTAAGCAAAGGAGAATAGTATTAGTATATATTAGAAATAAAGTTGCTTGGGTAAGCTGGAGTTTTGTGTAGATCAATGATAGGAGAAATTCCTAAAACAAGGAAAGGTTTGGCTTTCATTCATTGCTATTGTTCCGTCATGGAATCAATAAAATTTTACATGCTTATTATATATCAATTATACTGGGCACAATTTCTGTATTCATAAGGATTATAGACTAAGGGAATCAGACAAGCAAACTGTTGTAGTACAGTTTGGTAAGTCAAGGACAGGTGACATTTCAACAGAGAGTGGTGAGGAATCAGGATGGGAAAGGGGATAGTGGAGAGAATGGAATTAATATGATGGAAGGCATGAAACAATATATGGATTTGAGACCGTTTCCCCAGAAAATTCCGTCCTCACCAAGGAGGACTTGGAAGCTGCAGTCATAAAGTCCCAAGGAGAGATCGGCTCTTCAACCACACATATGTCTTCTTGCTTGACAACGTCGATCCAGTTCCTTCTGAAGAATGCATTCTCACAAAAGCTTTACTAAATGTACGAATTTTTTCATTAAATTAGCTGGTCCCACCTCTAGCTGCAAGCCTACTTGGCCCCCTTCTCTTATTAACCAAAGAAAATATTGTTCCGTATGGTCCATGCCCAACATAGTTGTACCCACCACGGTGGCTAACAGAACAGAGCCATACAGTCAATAGCATCTACTCTCCTTATAAAGTCACAGTCGAATTTAATTAAGTCATTCCTGTTTAGTTCTGTTTAATTAAATCATATTGTTAAGGAATAGTACCTGAACCAGGTTACCATCCTGGGACCCAGAGTCAGTGAGGCCAGGTAAGCAGAACCCTTCACAACACGGGGCCTGGACCTACATGGTGTGTTATCTCCTACCCACTAACTTATTGGGTCTCTGTTATTCAGTTTATTTCTTTGTAAAATGAGGATGACAAAACATTCTTACCTCAAAAGCCACTGTAAGGAATAATAGTAACAATATATTTGCACATTTTTTTTTTTTTGCAGTGCTTACAACTTTTTATAGAATGGAACATTCCTAAAAACTGAAAACCACCAAAACTCCCTACTAATTTTAATGTATTAGGTGCCACTGTGGCTTACTAAGTACTTGAATCCACCATTAGTGACCTCCTTCTCCTCCCCCTAATGCAGGCCTATGCACCCGTCAGCAGCCCAGTCATCAGTGTGAATCAATGACTTTCTGTATCGGTGGAAAATACTAGATAGAAATATTCCCAACTGCAAATTATGATAGTGTCTGGACTGTACATTACTGTTTATTTCTTTGTTCTTTACATGTTCATACCTTCCTTTAACATATAACAGCAATGATAATTTACTATGTTTATAATCAAAAAAGAAAAGAAAGATTATGGAACAGAAACAATCCCTGGCTGCCAAGCAGTTCAGCCCTAGGACGGTGTTCCAGCTGAAAGGTGACCGACCATATGGTTACTTCATGGAAAGAACGAGATTATAAAGCCAGACTCTTTCATCTAACCAGCCGCCTGATGGGTTATAATTTAATATGTAGAATCACCTGCTCTTTCCAACGTCTCTCTCCATCCCCAGAGATAATGGAACAGATGTTCAGCCTGTCACATGGCCAATAGGAAACTAAAATTCACAACAGTAGGGGGAAATCTCCCTACCTCTTCTATTCACTGAGTCCTATGTCAGGGCCAAACACAGAGTTGGCTTTCTCAGGAATGTTTTCCAAGCCTTCCACAACCGGGTTCTTTCCCAGCTCTGTCAGCACTCTGTGTCTTCATTCTCCTTTTCCTGGGGACAGGAATCCTGTCTCTCTTGTTCAATGATAGATTCCCCATGCCCAGCTAGATGGCTTTGCACACAGTAACCACCCAAGACATCTATTTTAAAAGTAATCTGGATTTCTGGTGGCTTTCAGCTTTTATTCGGAAGATCTATCAGAGCTCTAAGGCATCAATTATTGAAAAGGCACTTTGGAAATCATGAAGTTCTATTAAGAGGCAAGGTATTATGATGGTCCTATAGGTTTGATGATGCTATATCTTACACTCTTTAGCATCATCAGGTAATCATTGATTTCACCCATTTAAGAGCTTTTCGCTAATGAGGGGTCAGCTGGAAAACACAATAGTCATAATTGTCACTAGCCATTCAGAAAGTGTACATCACCATCTTGGGTAACTACGAACCATATTACAATCAATGCCTAAGCAACTAGCATGGTAGTAGGCCCTTGGTGGGCAC